TGAATTTGCACCAACCACTCAAACTCCACCAGTAAGTCAAGCATCGACTGACTCTTTAGCAAGTAGACCAAAAAGTCATCATTCCACTCACACTTATACTTCACCAAGTGCTCCAATACCGATAGCAAGCCACCCTTCGACTCCGAGCGACAGTTCACCAAGTAATCCAACAACTACAATGAGTCACGCTTCAACTGACACTTTACAAAGCGGTACAACATCAGCCACAAGCTATGCTTCAGCTGACACTTCAGGAAGGGGCACAACAGCAGGAAAAACTCAGCATTTCACTCGCACTTCACGAAGGCGCACAACATCAGCAAAACATCGTCGTTCTACTCACACCCATTCTTCACCAAGTGCTCCAATACCGTTAGCAAGTCACCCGTCGAGTCAGAGTGACATTCCGCCAGTTGCTTCAACACCTGCAGTGAGTCTCGCTTCGACTGACAACTCACCAAGTGACGCAACATCAGCCGCAAGTCACGCTTCAACTGACCCTTCACCAGGTAGCGCAACGTCAGGAAAAAGTCATCGTTCCACTCACACTTCCACAGGTGCTCGAACACAAGCTCCAAGTCATCCTTCGTCTGAGAGCGACATTTCGCTAGTTGCTCCAACACCTACAGTGGGTCTCGCTTCGACTGACAATTCACCAAGTAGCGCAACATCAGCAAAAAGTCATCCTTCTACTTATACTCGTACTTCACCAAGTGCTCCAATACCAGTAGCAAGTCATCCTTCGAGTGCCAGTGATGCTTCACCAAGTGGTGCAACATCAGCAGGTGCAGCATCGACCGACGATCACGGTTCAACGAGTCAGAGAATGGTAAGCAAGCTTTGTTGTTCGGAATGTAGCTTCGAAAGAGACGGCATTTATGTGCTGTTATTTCTGGAGAAACATCACGACGAGTGCAGGGAATGGCTCGGACGAATAAACAGTTGTATCTAGGCAAGAATCACAAGTGGGAGAAATCTACATACATTTAGTCGGTAGTCGGGCGTTGAATTATTAGTTGTTGTCTGGATTTCTGATTGGAAAGGAGGCTTTTAAGTGGACGCATCAGCATGTATTTTGCAATAGTTAAGTTGGTTGGTTGTGATGCGCTAAATCGTTGGTTGAAAGTTAGTAGAAATCTATGAGTCTTCCGAATACCAGATTTTTACTTAGATCTAGTATTTTGTGTTGTGGTTGAATCGTTGTGTGGTTAAGAGAGCTCAGCTGTGTAGAAGTAGGGATTGTTTGAAAGGGGATCTTGGATCGAAAATTTGCGAACTGATAGGATGAAACCTAATGTTCCTGTAGCAAATGCTTGTAAGTATACATTCTTCAATTGTGCGACGGTTTCGGAGTGTATTGCAGGTGAATTAAAGTTTGCTCGAAATATAATCGCGTTTTTTTTATGGACTTTTTCAGACCACAACTACCGCTGGGAAACATGCGACGACAACAGTAAGAATTTAACTTTTGCTTCACGTCTATCATTTTTAATGGACGATTTTTTACGGACGATGATTTAGGAAAGTATTTTGTTCGAGAAGGAGTGAACTTTAGAGAAATTTGATCACACTCTCTAGCATTTTGGAAATTTTCGTCTAGTGGATATGCTGTAGTCCTATATGTACGTGATTCTAATCTGCCAGTTTCAACTCAAAAATAGTATTCCGTTGAAAATTGATTGACAGGTGGCCATGTAAAACCGGCCACTTTTGTTCTTTCTTTTTGAGGCACTTTCCAATGGTCCAAAGAGTTGGTTCTAGGCTCATTCGATACAGAATGGAATTCTCTACAAACCTGCTATTTAAATCTCTGATAGTATTTTTCTCGTTTGAGCACCATTCAGAATATTGAATAGTGCTGAGTTGTCAAACTGCGACAGACCGAAAACAGAAAAATATTGGACTTGATCCAAAAGTAGATTTCATCAGAATTTTGAAAATATCAGAAGACTCGCCGAAAAATTCTGCATCTTCTCACATATTTTTCGAAATTTTGTAGTTAAATCTTCTAGGAAAATTCCTCTATGCAAAAAACTGATAAACCGAAAAAAACCTAACTTTTGAACCTATTTTTCGCAAACTGTAGTTTTCTAACTATAAAAGTAGTAAAACGTTCTGGATTCAAGTTTAAGTCTTATTACCTTACACAGAATTAAATTCAGTATGTTTTAATATATAAACAAAGTTTCTCAATTGAAACCACTAATTAACAGACTTAATTTAATTTAAAGAAATTGAAAAGCCAGTTGGAAACTAATTATGAGTCCAGCTGACCTAGCGGAAACATTGTACGAAGTTGTGAATGAGTGAGATCGATAGAGCATAAAATTCTCTAACTTTGTACGTAGAAAAATTAACTGGTGAACCTCAGGCAATGGGCTAAAAATCAGAAAAAAGAGACGACGGAAGCAGTTATACAACTCAGCGCCATTCAAAGCTCAAACGAGAAAAATACTATCAGAGATTTAAATAGCAGGTTTGTAGAGAATTCCATTCTCTATCGAATGAGCCTAGAACCAACTCTCTGAACCGCTGGGAAGTGCCTCAAAAAGAAAGAACAAAAGTGGCCGGTTTTATCTGGGCCGCCCATTAAAATGCCTGCAAAACGCCCGCTTTGCTGGAAAATGCCCCGTGTTATTTTAAAAGTTTTTGAATGTATATGATATTGATCATCAGGAGCTCAAGTTGTATTAGTCCTGAAGGTTTTGAACTATTGACATAAGTTTCACGTGAAGTCTGGCACACTTTTGGAGAAATTACCCACATGTATTCTTCGAGAGCAAAATACTTTTAGATTCAAATTTTCAGCAGTAATTAGACATTTAGAGATATACATGTGAAATAAAAAGTTGTGCTGAGGATGTTTCTGACACTGAAAAGGTCTGTCTGATTTTATCATAAAATAATTATTAACAATATCCGGTTGTGCGACGTTAACAACTGCATGTTGTTTTGTATTGAAGTTTATGTGTATTTCTTCTAGCTGCTTTTACCAACGTGCATCGAGTATTCTAGTAATCAAAACATCTCATCCTTGTTTGCCAATCATCCACTAATAGAACAATCAACGATTAGTAATATGTCAAAATGTATCTGTGCTTGCAGTCCCGGATATAGTTTGCGGCAGCATTTTAGTTATGACGAAGTAACACCTGATCAGTCCTATAGACATCGTCGTTCAAGAATTAAACTGGATTCAGATGGTATTGAGGATATATGTAATAGTCCTATCGATTAACAATTATGAATATGTTCGTATCTTTTCATTATATCGAGTTATCAAGTTGTATGTTTGAATGTGTTGTTATGTGGTCGTAAGAAAGTAAGAGAGATTCCTTTTTTTGTCAGATTTATTTTTTTACTGTGTGAAACTCTTTTGTTATCAGTAATAAATATTTTCTCAAATCATTCTGTAAATATATATTTACTTTATAAAATATTTTTGATCGTTGTAAGAAGCCTCTGCAATTTATAATATATAATACTCAAAGTTCATCATCTTCTAAATATTACGTTTTCCGTTTCATATATTTGTGATATCTCAGTTTGAAAAGAAAATCCTGCTTATGAATTTTGTAGACCGAAATGCGTTCGTTACTTCTCGATTACAAATAAGCAGAAAATGTTAAAGGTATACAGCGAACAGAACCAAGCTACTTGTACGAAAACAGAACGACTTGCTACGTTAAAACTTGTTTTCGTTCGTTATAGAGAGTATTTATGTAACGGTATAACACAGCTATTTATGACTTTAACGGTGTAACTGATTTTGTTTTGTTTTATTTGCGGAAAGAAAAATAGGAGTCTGTGTCATCCATTATTCTAATTAGAAGTTTCTTTTTTATAGCGATCACTTATGTTTGATTAAATAAAATAAAATATGTGAAATTATTTCTTGGAATAATTTTTTTCTCGTTTTCGGTGATATGAAAAGTGGATTGAACATATATTTTTAGGTATTCATTGATACCAGTTAAACGTTGTGTAATCTTTTTACAACGTACAAAAAGACTCAAAACAAAACGAAAAATCATTTTTCTTCTTATTTGTTTTATTAGATGGTACATCTAAGGATGCCTACATTTTCTTCAATTAGTCATGATGTACAAGAGATT